GTAAACAGTTCAGATCACTCATGTGTACCATCCCAATTTAGATGTTATTCTGAAGGCAATGCTGAGCTATTATTCAAGAATGTGGAATGGTTGGCTGTGGCTTTACAAAGAATGTAAAAAAACAACCACCTAGAGTTGATGTTTCTAGACCTGCATCCTGGGGAAAAGTAAGGAATGCAATTTTTCAGGCTCTACCCTAGACCTGCTGGCGACGGGGCTAGCAACCTGAGTTTTAACCAGACCTTCCAGGTGATTCTGATGGAAACTAATGTTTGAGAAACACTGGTCTATACAGCAAGGCCAGACTGGAGGTCCTACTTAACTCACAGAGTTGCTAAGAGAACACATAAAAGACTAACTTGTAAAGCAGTGTATATACATATCATTACTAATACGGCTATGATTCTAAAACTGGGATGTCTGTAGTTTCTTAGAATGGCTGATTTGCTGACTTGCTATAACTTTGAAACGACCTAAAATCCAACACTTCATTTTAACTTAAACGTCTGCGATCATTATATAGAAATGATGTGAGGAAAGTGGCTGTGGAATAGACAGACCCATGTTTGAATTACCAAATCCTGATGATAGCTATGTGATTTTATTTTATTTCACAAAAAAAATTCCAGTCTGTTATTTATTCTTCCAAGTGGATTTATTCACTGGTACAGAATGCTTTGAGCTTTTATTTCACCTGTTTAATATGCCAGCTTTCTCTTTTGAGGATATTTTTAATCAGTTACCTAAGACTGATATACTCTGGATGAGCTGATAAAATGGAGCCTTTGGAAATGCAAAACTGACAGACTGAATTTTGAAAAGTGAAGTGATTACCTGATTTCTCACACTGTTTCAAAAAGAGAAGTAGTTATGGGTATAAAATCATGTATTCATTTTAAAAATCTTGGGAAATATAGAAATACGTAAGGAAAAAATAAAAATCATTGTGCCCCAACACCTAGAGGAAATTACTAGAAATATTTTGGTCTATATTCATTTAGTCTTTTTTGGTATGTATTTTAAATATACAAATATCCATACATACTTTAGTTCATTATAGAACTGAGATCTTACCCTAATTCAGTGGTTCTCAATCAGGATTTTAAAAAGATTCCCAGGTGATTCTAATGTGCAGCTAAGGTTGAGAACTACTGCCCTAATTGGTTCTCTATTTTTTTCGGGATTTTTGTCCGTTTGTTTCTTACTGATTGCTGTATCGTGAACATTCTTTCATATTAAAAAAATTTTAAGAACATGACTTTTATGACCTTTAGTGTTGCATCATCTGCTCTGTTTGAGGTGACACCCTTAAATTCACAATTAAGTCCTATGCAAAACAAAATGCTATTTTTATATGTAATGTTTTGATAATAAAAAAAACAAAAATGTCTGCAGTACATTTAATAGCATTAAGAACTTCAAAAAGGAAAATGGAAGCAGTTATCAAGTGATTTACAAAAAAAGTTTTGGCAGAATTTTCTCACAAAGTACATCAATTAAAAAAACTTTTTTAATTGATTTAGGAGAGAGCAAGAGAGAAACACCTGGGATGAAACCAAGCAACTTTGTTGTTTTGGGATGATGCTCTAATCAACTGTACTACCAGCCAGGGTTTCAACTTCTTTTTACAGCTGTGGCTTCACATAGACATATCTTTCCACTGTTGTAGAGATTTTAGGTATCAATGCTATAACATGTAAAGATTTAAAAAAACACCTATGCCAGTATTAACATAAAAGATAATTTTAAAATTTTATTTATATTGGATGAATGTAACAAAATAAAACGCCAATCTTTTTCTTTTTAATTCAGAAATTTCACAGGAGATGACTGAAAGAATAAAATTCTTGAGAAAGTATGAGATCCAGAGTTCAAGTGGTGGAATTCACTCTGATAGAGGGACAACTCTTCCATTGGAACAAGAAAGATGCAAGAGAAAATGGCTGCAGATTTAACCCTCTGAAGTTGAAGCAATCACTATAGATGGTTTCTATTTCCTCAAGTATGAGGCAAGGCCACCAGCTGAAAATGGGGAGAGGTTGGGGAAAGGCATGTGAGTGATTTTCGGGAGAGAAGTGAAGGTGTGAATGATTCATCCAGATGACTAGCTTTTCCAGCCAGTGTTGAGTGCTCCTATGAGATCTGACATCATAACTGAAAACCAGCCAGCCCTGTTGTATGATTTTCTCCAGTAATATTTGTTACTTGGTTGTAAGCAATGAGAAAGTTGGTTCCAGCAGGGTTCAGTCCAAGCAAGGTTGAGGTTCTTCCAAGTAAGAAAGATAGAGACATTGGGGTAAGAGAGTTAAAACAGTTTGTAAAAGAGTGGTTACAAGAACTGATCAGGGAATCTAAGTCAGATGAGTTGGACATGATTATATGATTGCAGAAGCAGGATAATAGATTTTTTGAAAGTGTTGGAATTAATGGATTGGAAGTCTCAAATAGGTCAATGACAGTATATAATAAATGAGCCAAAGGGAGGAGGATAGCAATTGACAACAGGCATGCTTGAAATTGAGATTTAAAAGGTAAAACAGCTATTGATGACAAGGTTCAGATTCTTACCACTGGAGTGGATGGATGTGATGGACTAGAGCAGAGGTTCTCAACCTGTGGGTCGCGACCCCTTTGGTGGTCAAACGACCCTTTCACAGGGGTCGCCTAAGACCATCCTGCATATCAGATATTTACAGTACGATTCATAACAGTAGCAACATTACAGTTATGAAGTAGCAACGAAAATAATTTTATGGTTGGGTCACCACATGAGGAACTGTATTTAAAGGGCCAGAAGGATGAGAACCACTGGAATAGAGGAACAAATTTTTGGAGATGGAGAGATCAAGCATCCAAGAGGTCAAGTGTTGGTGATGTACGGGTCATCTGTAATAATGTTGAATTCACACACAATGTAGACAAAAGCGATGGTGAGGAAAACCTAGAGCAAGGAGCAACAGTCTATAATTTCTGAGGGAGAGTGGTCAAGAGGTTGATAAATGATGGTAGAGGAGCCATGGCCTTTGTGCCTACGTGGTTAGAGCGTCAACCCGTGGACAAGGGTCCTGGGTTCATCCCTAAAAAAAAGTAGTGTAAGGGATATACTGATGCACCTAGGATGATACCAAGTCTGAATTTGGTAACTCGAGTTTGTGGATGATGTAGAAAGGCAGTCTCTGCCTGATAGCTTATGACATCAACTATGTCTCCTGAGAAATGTAGAGTCCACAAGTAACCTGTTGATAAGTGTCCCCGGAAAAGCAAAGGTGAGATGATCAATAACAGGGAATGAAAATGATGCTTTTGCTCAGGAAACACTTCAGGCATCTAGAGAATGTAGTTCTTTGTGAGTTATCTTTAATACTGGCCTATAGGGCACAGTGCTACGTCTATTTAAAACAACTTTCAGACGCAACAGGTAATTTTTTTTTTTTTTTTTTGCTTGTGGCAAAAATAGGATGAATTACTGCCTCTAAAGCTTACACTGTCTGGAAAATTTCTGGTGCAAAGGCCCTATGGAAACAGAGTTCCCGTGTCGTCCCCTCGGGTGATTCTCTCGGGTGGCGCTGTGGCCCCCGCATTGTACTCTACTCACATCATATGAAGGGAGAAGAATATTATCCTTAAGTGTCAGACCTGCCACCTCCCCTGAGGATCCACGTCAGCAACCAGCTGCCCAGGTACTATCAAACCATAGCAGCTTGGAGACCATTCCCGTCGGATCAAATCTAGCCCTGGTGACTCCGGCGCTTTTCAGTGAGAATAGCTAAACCTACCTCCTCAAAACTATTAGTACAGGTAAGCCGGAGCCAAACTTTGCAGGGTTAACGAATCAGCAGGACAGCTTGCGGAGATTATGCTCAGTACTTTGTTGCTCTGCCCATTACAACTTGAGACTACACTGGAAGAAGTAACTGACCTGCGGCAGGCACCGTGCACCTCCGACCGTCCTACACGCATTCATTCCGTTTGTGAGGTTACCAGTACTGCAAGAGCTTGGTCCTTTGCCACTCAGTGTATTCAGTGAAGCTTGCTAATTAAAATACAATATTGAATTAGTGTTACTAAGTTTAATACTATTGCTTAAATATATGTAAACACTGAGGTTTGTAGAAAAAAAATATAAAATTGCCTCTAGGAAAATAGCCTTTCATTAAAAGAAATGTCTCCTCCTCTTGAACAAAATAGAATGATTTAATCCACAGGAAACATTTTCAGTGAAAGCGTTTGAATCTACTCGAATTTAACCATGCAGGAATCAGATAGACGTTTAAAAATCACCTTAAAGCAGCTTATAAACTAGTTTGGAGATCAGAATCTGGGTAAATGATTAAGACACCCTAGATCCAATCTCAGCTTCTTTCCTTTCTTGGAAGAAAGCATCGTGAAATACACAAGTTCCTAAGAAATACAGATATTTGCCATCAATGAATGGCATTTCTGAGGAGGATATTTTAATTGTAACACGTTTCTGAGCCTCTGCCAGGTGTTGATTTGACTCAGTAACGTGGTTAGGGTTCCCCGGCCTCCTCATAGTCACTGGGCACGTTAACACCGAGCGTGTATCCATCCACCTCGCTTATCTTAAGCCGCCCGTTCATGCCGAAATGTTTCCTTTCGTTTTGTTGAATTATTAAATGTCAGGTTTAAACTATGGTCAGATACAGGTGGAGGGTAACTCAGAGACGGCTCCCAACAGGAAGACAGCGGAACCCCAGCTAACTGTTCGCACGTAATAACTTATTAATGCCCCAGCCTCCAGGGTCAGAAGCAAATGGGATACTTGACAATACAATTTTATCACAAATTCAAGGGCAATCTGAAGTTCCCCGTAGTCGAGGTCCGGCTTTCCCCGAGTTTCGGGAACAAAAGAAGCGTTCCCAATCCGAGACTGAGGGCGTGGGTTTTACATTTACTCGAAAGAAAATCAAACCAAGGGCGATGCGTGGCTGCACACACGCCTCGCTTCTGCTCCTTCCCTTCGGGGCTAGCGGCTATTCTTCGCGGGCCGTGTCCCGAGAGTGAGGCAGGCCCAGCCGCGGTCCCTGCAGCTCAGCTCAGGGACGCCCGATCCCGGGGAGGAAGGCTCCTTCTCCAGTCGGGAGGGGGGAGGAAACGGCGCACAAAAGCAGCCCGACTGGTTCCTTATCAGCGTCCAGGGGAAGGGTGGGGAAAGGGGAAACAGAAATGGGCCAGCGCGGAGCTCCCGCCCGAGCGGCTTTTAAACTGCGTTTCCACAGCCTCTCGCAGGGCGCCGCGGCTAATGGAACCCGCGCGAGGCGTCGGGCCAATCAGCGCCGCGCTTCCTCCGGCCGCCGGCCAATGGCGGCGCGCGTTCTTGGGGCGTGGGCGAAGCAGACTGCTTTCCTTGGCTGTCGTGTGTGGGCTGGGGTTGGTGCGGGCTGCACTTGGTCCGCAGTTCTGCGCCGGGGGCTTTTGTGTCCGCCTTTTGCTTTGCTTTCTGTGCGCGTTTTTGTTTTTTTTGTTTTCTTTCCTCCGCGCGCTGCTCCCCAGCGGAAGCCGTGAGGCTCGGAGGCAACAGCCCTCACCCCAGGCGAGGAGCGAGCGCGCCAGCGTGAGCACCGGAGTGACGGCTGCGGGGAAGGGGGTTCGCCGCGGAGATGCCAGAGTTCCTGGAAGACCCCTCGGTCCTGACGAAGGAGAAGTTGAAGAGTGAGTTGGTGGCCAACAATGTGACACTCCCGGCGGGGGAGCAGCGCAAAGACGTGTACGTGCAGCTCTACCTGCAGCACCTCACGGCG